GCTGTCAGGTAGCGACAGCCTATGGAAACAGCAGGCTGCTGTGACAGCAAATCCCATAAGAGCAGTGTTTTTCCATGATCTGGGATGCTGATGGACCCCTAAATACATATAGAGGTGTATCTAGATGGCGTGGCGCCTCTAATAAGCCGAGGCCCTGGACGTATGGAGGACTGTGGTTTGTTCTCAGCATAGTGTAGAGAATAATGTGACAGCTGCTGGTGTTTATTTTATACCAGGATCTCACTATAAACAGTATCTATCTCCCTCACTCTTCAATAAGCCCTTTATACAGAAAACCCATTTTCTTACACACCAAATGATTCCCTACATGCACGAAGAAGTCAGCTATTTTTCAAAAAAACTAAGGAAGAGTAAAGCAAATAATTTATTTGTGTAAGTCTCATGAACCCTCCTGCTTTAAATAACAGGTAAAGGTGACTGTGTGCAATTTATACATGAAAAAAATAAATAAACCCAAATCATTAAATTAGTCAGTAAAAGCTGTGTGCAGATGAAGTGCAGGTGAAATACGCTCCTTATCATCTGCAGCTACCAAGAGGGGCTAAAGCAGAGCAAGATGCTCCTGGAAGAGAAACAGGCAGAGGAACTGGATGCAGAGAAGCTGCTGGAAGTGAGGCACAAGGATGAGGAAAGTGGAAAGAGGTATAAGAGCGGCAGGTAAACGTATTCTATTCACCTTTAAGAGAAATCAAGAGTATAAATATTTTATGCTTTTTAACAGTATATAACTCAACACAGCTAATAAAGCTCTAAAGTGAATTACTTAGAAATCAAACCACATCTCTCCATCTAGATCTTCCTCATGAAAACATGATATAAGAGCCTTATTGCCCATTGTTCAAGGAATGTTATTTAAAATATCCGTCTATGTTTCCTACACAGGAGGATGGAGGAAGTACTGGTTCTTCTCAGTCGGTTTTGCCCCTCGATCTCCGTCAGCCGCCGCCTGCTTTGGGTCATCCTGATGCTGTTTGTTTTGATGTGCGTGCTTATCAGTATATTCACATTCTTCAGTGACTACTACAACCGCCGTGAGGACACATAGGAGACATTTTAGGAGGCTCAGCAAAGTCTGGACTAAGTATAAGGAGGAAGAGCTGAGAAAAAAACTATTTCTGCCATACTAGCAGTTTATTACAGATAGACTTGAATGGAAAGACTGACGGGAGATGAAGCTTAACGCTGGGTTTATTTTTTCAGCATTAGTTGTATTTTTGTTCGGAACAGAGAATTTTCTATCTGTTTATTGGAGGAAAACATAACGAGTTAGGTTTAGGGACCAAAGATACGGAGTGATGAAATCTGTTTAATTCATCGATGGAACCTAAGAATAGATTTTGATTTTAGTGTTTTTGAAAATGGCACCTTCTCTAAAATGCCACAGTAAAAAAAAAAAAAAAGGTTTATCAGCTAGTTTAACACTTTTTTTTTCATTTATATTTAAACATGTGCATTTGTTGGTTAGGTTCTGTAAAGGGCATTTAAGGTTTAGGCATATGCGGATACCAAGAAGTTGTTTAAGTGCAATATTTTGAGGTTGTATAATTTATAATTTAGAGCACTGACAGATAGCTGTTGTTTATAGAGCACTTTTTAGATTACTTTTCTGAGTCCCTGGGTTGAAAATTATTTTGCTACTTTACCTTTAAATAAAGGGTATCTGAGAATAATTCTGTCATTTATTCGTCTTTTAATAATCCATCCATGCATTCATTATTATCAAACCTATTAAATCCTTACAGGGGCTGCTGTCTCCAGCCGTCATTACGGACACACTCTGGAGATTTATTAATAATAATAATAATAATAATAGTGTGTGCTTACCAAATGAGTGATATTGTTAGGGTCTCTTGGGTTTTGCTTTTTTTTTTGGTGTAAGTGAGTTTCCTGTTACAGAGAGGATCTTTGCTGGTGGCTGGGCTGACCTGTGTTGCTGCACACCTGAGAACATTTCTCAGTCAAGATGACTAGTATACATTAGGAGGGCAAGGATCATCTCTCTTCTTCAGGATGATCACCCCTGATGGTATTTCAACCAAAGACCAAAAATAGGAATATGTTTTCTTGTGAATATCTTTTCATTTGGACTCTGTTATTCTTCCGGTCAGCCAGTTAACCTCAGTTCATGTAAGAGCTTCATGCAAAACGTCTTACCTGTGTGCAGCAGTTCTCACCTGCCTGTCCATTCTCCAACACTCTTGCAAGTACCAATGATCTCAGATTTCACTCACATTCTCCTGGACCTCTGGGTTCAGCCTCAAAGCCGGCTGAATCAAACCCCTATAGATCTACGCTACCTCCCGTCTATCTCCAATATGCAAATTCATCAGTTGTCATCAACCAACCTCTTCCTGATCAGTCTGCTTTCTCCCCTCAGATCAACCATAAAGTTCAACTGACTTCCTGCAGTTCTCTGTTTCCAGATTCCTGTTGCTTCTTGTAAATAAAATGTTAAAACTAGTGATGGTGAGATGAAAGCTGTTTCTCAATTCACAACAATGCGAGCACGGACTCGTGTCCTCACCAAGTATGCTCTTGAGAAGAACACAGGAAAGTGTGGACTTTGGGAGAATGGGAGCACGCAGCATAAATCTGGGTCAATTGGAACAGATGCATACTGGTGACGTCGCCACACGCTCAGCTCGTCTGGAGCTGCATTTCACCTCCTGTTATTAATAGTCTCTAGATAATAAGAAATTCTCACCTTTTTCATTAATTGGAGGAATAATAGTTAAAACAGATAAACACAAATCAAATGAACATTTTGCCAAATGAAACCAAAAACTCGCCATTAGAGCCAGCGGTGTTTCACACATGGCTATGCCGAGAGAAGGCTGCTGCAGACGGGCTAGGATTAGACCTGGCCGTCGTTACCCTCGGAGGTCTGCTGGTTTCCGTGCTCCTCTCAACTTCAGAATTTATTTTTTGTTAATTACGAGTGCACAAGCACATGAGAACGCACAAATACACATATACCCCATTTCCACTATCCTTGAAAAAACGATCCATGCTGAGACCGGTCCGAGCTCGGATCAGTTAACCAGGCCGAGCTTGGTTCTGACGACCGTTTACACATCACGCTATCTCGGTTCCTCGACTCCTCGCCTCCTAGTGACGATCTGCGGTATTACTGCCAGTATTGAAGAAAGAAATCAAGCAGTTGGTAGCGGTAATGCACCAAAAGTTGTTTGCCAACCGCCGTAAAACACAAGAAGACGACGAAGAAGGAGGCAATCAAGCAAATCAAAATGGCGGCGCCCGTCACATTCAGAAAGTTATGCTTGATTATTATTGATGTACTTCGGTGTTTGCGGAGAGCCAGGCAAAGACGGCAACCTTTCGTGGATTTACTTGAGAAAGTCAGCTTTTGGGACGTGGATCAGACAAATTATCATCGACTCCGGGTTTACAGACACCGGAAACAGCAACAGACCCTGAGGTTCATCACACTGCTGAGCCAAGTCATCACTGGAAACCGTGTGGCACGGTAGGGAAGCTAGTATTTTTATAAATATCTGAAATGTCATGATTGCAGAGGCTTGTTACCTGTTGTTTCCATTAGCTGTCCGCGTTTTATATGTATTATTTCGCTTTTTTTTTAAAGTCTCCCTTATTTTTGTTGTGCTTACAGAAGGGTTGGGATGAAAGAGCGGAGCGAACACTGGTGGCTTTATATAGTAAGAGAGACATTTAACCCTCAGCAATGGATCGAAAACTTCATATAATAAAAACACAAAAAATAGCTGATTTTCTCTACCATTTTTTAAATAAGCGTTATTAATACTTCAACTGATAGGCCCATTTTTTCCCTGAAAAGCAATGAAATGTATGAAACCATTACTTGTTTTGATTTTGGAATTAATAAGATGAAAAACAGAATGAGCTACAGAGCCTTCAAATGGCTTTGTGAGTCGCTCAGTCCTCATGTCTCCAAGGCAGAAACGAAGATGCGACAGCCTATTCCTGTGCAGCAGAAAGTTGGTGCTGTCTTTTGGTTTCTTGGAACCACATCACATTATTGGACCATTGCTCACCTTTTTGGAATATCCACAGCCTCACTGTGCATCTTTGTCAAGGCTGTTTGTGAGGCAATATGATTTCATCTGACACCACAGTTCCTAAAGCTACCCACTTATATAGAGATATTATGGAGTCATTTAAAGAAAAATGGGGATACCCTACTTGCATACGTGCTAATGATGGCTCACACATACCCACTGTCGCCCCCAAGGAGAGCCGAGTTGATTATTTTAATAGAAAGGGTTGGTATAGTATCAATATGCAAGCACCTGTAGAAGACAGGTATGTTTAGAGATCTCTGTATTGGATAGCCAGGAAGCACTCATGATGCTCGTGTTTTAGTCAACTCCCGTTTATACCAGTTTTGGGAAAATGGTGTGTTCCCCCATCTTCAAACAGAAATTCATGGTGTGATGGTACCTCCAATTATACTTTGCGATCCAGCATACCCTCTCTTACCCTGGCTGATGAAGCCTTATCCAGAAAATGCAGGGACAACTGAAGCCCCAAAAAAATACAACCTCATCCATAGCCGTAACAGGATGGTGGTAGAGAACGCCTTTGGGCGGCTAAAAGGGAGATGGAGAAGGCTTTTGAAACGAGTTGACAACAAGACATCAAATAGTCAGAATGTCATCACTGCCTGCTGTACTCTACAACAATATCTGTGAGACGCAAGGAGAGGATTTCCTTGATCAGTGGGCCAATGAGGCAAATCAGCCACCTAGGAAAAATTTGGTCGATGGAGATAATAATCCTGATATTAACAATGCCCACAATATAAGAAATGCTCTCTGCCGTTACTTTGCAGATCAAAATTAGCCTACATTGACTTAAATGTCTTATGTATTGTAAATAGTTTCTTACAGTTGAGTTTAAGATATATTTTTGCAATTACTAGTGTGGTCTATAGTTTGAAAGAGTCAGTAACGAAAACAATTTTTGTATAAACATGTTATGTATTGTACATTTATAAAACAATAAAAAAGTTACATATTTTACAATTATTGATATGGTCCCTAATTTGAAAAGTTTGGCACAGAAGTCGAAGGGGATGCAGGGTTCAGAGGCTGTAATTGTGCTGGTTGCCGTGTCATCAGTTGGACAATCATCTGCATCATTCGCATCTCATGTTCCTGTTGTTGTTTTCTCAGTCTCTCTTCAGCCTGTTAAAATAAAAAAATAAAAACATCCATTTATGTCCATGTCCAATATACATTACAATTTTTGATTAATTAAAGAAATGCATTTTAACCTGAAGTCTGTTTCTTTCCATTTCTTGTATCATGTGGAGCTGATGTCGTTGGGCTGACTCCTGCTGTTCTTTAAATGCCACCATCCAAAGGTCATGAGAATGTTTTTGTGCTTTTAGGAATGCCATTATTGTAGAGTCGAGAAATTGTTCATCATCCATCTCTGCAATAAAAAAAGCAAAGACAATTGATAAATATTTAATCTGAAATAAATGCACACTTAATTCATTTACAAGTACAGCTACTTCTTTTAATGCCGTATTATAAGAGTAAACATGATAAACGTTTAAATTTAATAGAGAAAGATATAAAGATACAATTTAACACATTTTATAATGGCAGCAGATTTGGCATTTTAATACTGATACTGTAAACAAAAGTTGTTGAAGCATAAATGTGGAAATGGTGTAGAGCAGGGGTGCCCAACCAGTCGATCGTGGGCAGAGTTTCAGTCTATCGCAAGAAGTTTTACAATGTAGAACTATTTATGGCAATGACAAAAAAAAAAAGTTTTAAAAAACACTAATCAAATCATTGATCACGAGGGGCCAATTTGTATTTTCATAATAAAGAAATGAAAATAAAAAGTATACAGGGAACTTTTTTTTATGCATGCTGATTGCTGGGCATGGTTTGCCATGGTTGCTAGGTTGTTACCAGGGACTCTAAAGCGTGAAGAGGAATCTAAAGAGATAATGAGATAATGACATCTATCACAACTGATGGGGCTCCATCTATGGTTGGGCACACAGCTGGATTCATTGCTCTGTTCAAGCGGTCTGAAACTTTCCCGGATTTTTTCAGCTTCCATTGCATCATTCATCAACAACAGCTGTGCAGCAATATTTTAAATATGAAGCATGTCATGGACGTTGCGATGAAGATCGCTTGCTCTGTTTGGGGCCAGCAGTTTACACAGGCGTTTCTTCTGTGCCCAGCTCGAGGAGGCAGGTGCAAACCACACTGATCTGCTGCTGCACACCGACGTCAGGTGGCTGAGTCGTGGCAGATTCTTCGAAACATTTTTGGCCGTTTTGCCCGAAATTAAAGAGTTTCTGAAACAGTCAGCAACCCATTCTGCTGTATGTTACATCTTCACATCCACATAGTTTATACTTCATATTTTCCTATTTTTAGCCGATTTCCTGTTGACTTTTAATCCATCTGCCAGTTTCTCTGCCAATGCCCTGTGAAGTTTATCATATAGTGGACTGAAATAGTGGACTTCCCTACTTCTTCCTGCTTTGAAGTGATCTTAGACAGATTTTAGTGTAAAACAAAAAGAAATTTAGTTTGGAACAGCTCTCTGGACAATTTCATCTTTTTTTTTTAAAGTGCAGCCTTGAAAAGTAAAAAAAATGAAATAAAAAAATTAATAAATAATATATATATATATATATGACTGTAAATTTACAGTTCTAACGTTTTTTGTTTTTTTTTTTCCATCTCTACTGGACTGTGTGTGTATCAATTGGTTTATTTAAAAATTTTTTTACTGCACAGCCTTTGTCTGGAGATCTTGACTGCTCTTTTCTGTAGTTTTGGTAAGTCTGATGATTGACTGAGTGAGTGAGAGAGCAATATGGTGTGAAGTTCCTATGAGATTGTTAAGTTCTGTGTTTGCAACCTATCTTTTGAGACAATTGATAATTTCCTGGTTTGTTGGACTTACTGTTTATTCTCCACCTCTGCAAATAAAAAACAAATACTGCCCATCCCTTGTGTGTGGCTTGGTAGATCTCGGCATGCCATCAACTTCAAAAGTAGATCTTGGTTTAAAAAAGATAGGGCACCTCTGGTGTAGAGCCTACTTACCATCATGCGCGCTGTACTCATGCTGCTCCTGGTGGTCCGGTGTTGCATCATCGTCCTCTAAAATTGAAAATGAAAAAAAATGAATGAAAAGGAAAGCTACAGACATTTCTTAGTAGATTAGTAGATCATCAAAATAAAAAAATGAATGATTTTCGGGAACATACTTGTTGCTGCAGAGTTTAGAGAAGAGGTACTGGAGAAAAGCACTGGAGATCTCGACGATGCACGGAGGCCCAACACTTTATCCATGGCACCGTAGAATTTCCACGTTTTTCTCCCTCCCCCCGATGTGTTATTGTGGTCAAGAGCCTTCTTGTACTGTGTTCTAAGTTTTTTAATTTTTTCTCGGCACTGTTTCGGGTCTCGGTCGTATCCCCTCACCTTCATTTCGTCCGAAATTATTTTAAACACTTTGTGATTGTGTTTCGCGCCCTTCAACATCTCCTGAATAACGTCCTCCGCCCAAATTGCAATAACGGCCTCAGTCTCGGCGTCATCCCAGGTCGCACCACGATCTTTTGAAGCCATTATTTAAAATGTTGCGTGGATAAGATTTCGATTGTTGTTTATGGTTGCCCTTCTTCTTCTGTTTTGTGTTGGTGGCAAGCAACTTCCGGAGGGGCATTAGCGCCAACTACTGGAACGGAGTGTGAATCGTGGTGTGCGGCCAGACGGAGATGACGCGTTCTGCTCATGCGCTCTTGTTATCAGAGAACTGAGCCAGGAAAAACCGAGCCGAGTCCACCTCTGGAACTGGTCTGCAGTTAGCCCGGTTCATTTCAGTTTGCTTTCCATTTACACACCATAAGTTATCTCAGTTACTGAGCTCGGACCGGTCTCGGCACAGTTTTTCAAGGGTAACATTGAGAAGAGGCTGAAGCCTCATGAGACATTTGAACCATTTGGCCAAAGTGCTTCAACGATCCCCACAGTTCATGAAGCTTCATGTGAACATGTCACCACCTACTGGTGGGGTGCAGAACTACAGTTAGTAATATAATCAGATTTTTTTTTTGCAATTGTTTTTGTTGTTCCCCCCCATTTAAGATCCTTTGAAATTATTAATGATTGGTCTGTATAATAAAATCTTTTGTACTTTTTTGTGTAAAATGTCCTCAAAGGGAAAAATTATTTAAGGTACACTGTTTTTCTGCCATTTTAGTGAAATAAGCTCAACCAGACAGTGAAAGTGCTTGTGCAAATTGTGCAATGATGAGCAAAATGAAAGGTGTTAGTCATTTTATTCAAACATAATAGTTTTTTCACAGTTTTTCGTTTCAATCGGGTCGGAAGTTATGTATTCAACCAATCTTTTGATTAAACCAACCAATCTAATTTGGCAGTGTTTTTACCCAATCTATATTTCTACTAGGGCAAACCAATACAAATTAGTCACATTAGCCAAAATACTTGTTGTGTTTTATCGCAACGTTTGAAAGTTAATGGTGGATCTTGAACCAGTAAGCTCAGGAGTAGAATTTCATCTCTTACAGCTGACACCACTAGCAAGATAATAACCTTTAAGAAAGCAGTATTACTTAATGCCAATTACATCTGTGACCAGTGGCTTGCTTGGATTTTGATCATTACATTGTTTAATCCAACCAACTAGTTTTAACCAACTAGACTGGTTGTTTTTCCAACCAATCTATTCTTAGAATATATCCAAACTCTATCCATCTCTCCAACAAACTACCACATCTTGGCTAAACACAGAGGCTGTTTAAATGGCTGCCGAAGTTCCGGGCGAGCTGAACCACTTCCACGTGGTAGCGAGGCTTCGGACATCATCTATTTTGGCTCCTCCAACAAATGAAGCAAGCCTTGATACGCGCCCGCCCCGAAGCCTAGGCTCATCTTATACCATCACTAGTTAAAACTCACTGGTTCTCTGTATGTATTCTGCATGTGAGTCAAAAAGCTACAAACCAAAATGGCAGATGTCAGAAGCAGCAGGTTGTTTGCATATAAAAGCCGGCAACTGTTAAACCATTTTTTAATTGTACAGAATTAATTATAAAGCTTTAAAGTGACTTAGTCATGTAGTATAATTATTAAATTAGACACACTATGCTGTATGGCATCTGCCAGCCACCAATATTGCAAAAATTTGAAACTTAAACAGCAAATATCGTACACATTACATTTTATGTAAACCTTTCTGTCACTATAACTTAGAGCCAAAAATGATCATTAGTGTTAGTATTTGTAAGGCTAATGTAGTCATGCATCAGCAAAATCTAAAGTCTTCTGCACCCGGGTGGAGGATTTGGTCATTTCAAAGTTTATTTCTGTCTTATTTATAATAATGTGCAATAAATGTTGCAACACAGAAAGTCTTTGTATTAATCTGAGTTTCTGAATAAGCTCACATTGCTATATGGTAAGATAGAGTCTTTGACAATTTTGATACCATTGAAAGATCTAATATCAAAATAAATACCAGATAAATTCTACTTCTTTCCTCCCATTTCTTCTAATTGGAAAACATCTACTATGCTCTTTTATAAATGATTCAATGTTCTTGTAAACTGTATATACAAACTGGCATATTGTAGTTGAATGGTCACAGAAACCCAGTTGGAGCTTATGTTGCTTAAGGATGTCATTTATCATACTTACCTTCCTGACCACAGAACCCTGCAAGTGTCAGTCAGCGTGCTTTGCGTCATTTCCTGGTGTCCAGGCCTTGTGCAGAGATCATTCTCTGGAAGTCGGATGTCGTCGTGTGCCAAAGGCTCACCAGAGGATACCAGAGATAACAAGTGCATATGCGATTGAGCAATGCTTCGAGAGAGGAAATCCTGAGCATAGGGCACCCTGTTCAGATGTTGGAAATAATGAAAACTTTCACAAACATGCTCCAATTCCTCTTCGAGTTTTGATCTCAATATCTCTCCATAATAGGTTTTTGTTCTGTTCTTTGACTTTCTTCAAACCTTTGTCTCGTTTCACATTTTAGTTGTATTTTTTTCTCTCCTGGGTCGTTCTCTCTTCCAACATAAGATGGCTCTTGATCTGACCCGTTCTCAGTACTTTCCTCTTCCCTTTCCTTTACTCTCTGGCAATGACAGAGTCAGCACACCCCAGAGAACAGATTCACCTCTATTTAACCGAGTGAGTTGGCTGAGGAACACAAACTCTGTAAGACTGCCACTTTCCCAGCACGCCTCATCCATCCTATAACCAGTCATGAATATTATCTGGTTGTGCATCCCTTCTCTTCTGGGGTTTTCTTTAGTGTCCTCTGATCAAACTGAAAGCAACTTCAGAGGTAAGACATCTGAATAGATTTTTACTTTTTTTTTTTTTTTTTTTTTACATAAATCTGGTCAACAGCAGAATTTATCACTGTAGTCTGTGTTCCTTCTAGTTTTCCCAGCAGCCGGCCACAGTATAGGTGGTGTACTACAGGTGAGTTTCCTAGGCAACGGAAACCAGCACCAGTACGCCTTCAATGCCTCTGAAGCCCGGAAGGTCTGCCAGGACCTTGGACTCAGCATTGCCTCCAAAGCTCAGGTGGAGGATGCCCTCAGCAGAGGTTTGGAAACATGCAGGTGAGATCACAGAAATCCTTTAACATGACTCCACAGAGTAGTTTAGCGAAATAACCTGATATAATATTCTGCTTTATTCAGGTTTGGATGGACTGATGAACAAATTGCAGTTATTCCCCGCATCCATGCACTGGTTAACTGTGGCCAAAACAAGACTGGAGTGGTGCCATGGCGAGCGTCCGTAACAACATTGTTTGATGTGTTCTGCTTCAATGAAACGGGTTTGACTAATTTTATTTTCCACCCATTACAAAAAAAAAAAGCAGGTGCTATGAGAAGTTTATCATTCCACACTGCTATAAATCACCTAAGCACAAATATGATACACATCGATGGTAATGTTTTATTTTTTAGAAATCAAATGTGATCCAGAAACAGAGTTATAGATTTGATCAGGGGTTCCAAATGTTTCTTGCTGAATATTATATGTGTTTTTTATATATTTGATAGAAATTAAATAGATGGTTAAGATAACCCTGGATTTTTACTGTATTTTTTGCATATCATTACCTTCCTAAAACAATAGTCTAAGTAATTTTTTGGTCAAATTAAAAAAGCAATATTGGCTTAAATATAGATGATGCTCATGATGCTGGTCACCTCTTATAAAAATTAACTTAATCACCAGTCAATTGAATGATGCATTTCCACCTCTGCTTTAATTATGGAGTATATCAAGAGTTTGAATAATGTGAAGTTTTTTTGTCTAAGGAAAAACCTGAACAAAATTAATCAAATTAATTAAATTAAATAGAATCGGTCATGGATAGATAAAACTCCCTTGTTGATTATTATAAGTATATATTTTTTTGTTGCATTCAATCGAATGTATATATTTTCCTTTTATTGTTGTTTATCTTCAGTTTGGGATGAGGTTATTAAAGCACTAGCTCAAGCTTCCTTGCAATAAGGAAGGAAAAAAACGGCAATATTTTCTCAAAAAGTTGTGCATTTGACATTATATGAATAATTCAGATCGCCATTGATTATGATGCATCATTGCTTTGTTTTCTTCAAAAATGGCAATGTCATAAAAATGCCTTGCAAATGCTGTAGATGTATTTATGCATCTACCGTCTGGAAAATATTTAGATCACCCTTGCTTTTTGTTTTGTGTGTGTCTGATATACAATTTCTATACCTGATGCAAAATAAGGAATTATGAAATTCTCAAATTAATGTATTTAACTAATCCAGTCCAATTAACAAGATGAATGAGAATCTCAGGAAAAAAATTACTTTTAAGCACAAAGACACCTTTAAAGACAAGTGAGCTGTAGACATGGCTAGATAGTTGAGGTGTAAAGTGTTATTTCATACATCAGAAGAGGAAAGGTTAGGGGAAAAAAAATATTATATAATAGAAAATTACTGATATTGCAGATAACCATAACTTAAAGCAAGCCTTTCTGAAATGATATGAACTTAATATCTGCTGTTATTCATGTACATCCACAGATGCATTAATACAATTGAAGGATGCAGTAACAGATAACCCTCTGAGCACCACTGACCACACACACTCAGCAAACTCCACCCTCACAGCCCAGTCTACATCCTCCTCATCCACCCATCCTCCTTTCTCCACAACCAATCCTGAAACCATAAACAATGAGGTAGAACCTGCGCGATTTTCCAGTCATACACAAAGTTCTCCTGCAGGTAAGAGCATCATCAGGGACTCTCATCCCAGTAGAGCTTAGCTATTTTTTTTTTTTTAATCATTCCTGATGTTTTTGTTTTAGCAAAGGTTGTACTCATCACCTGCATCTGTGGCATACTCCTTGCAACAATAGCTGTGCTTGCATACCTAAAGCTGTGAGTGTTTTTAATAATAAGGGAGCTGGGGATGACATTTAAAGTGCATTTGTAATGGTAAATGGTGGGTTCTGCTTCGTCTAATTTTTTTTTTTATAATCTCTGAAAAGGGGAAGGCACTGCTATCTGCACTCTGAACAGAAGATGCAGCAGCAGCAGGATTGCCCGCAGACAGAAGAATGGATATCTGTGAAGACTATTACAGAAACTAAAGAAAAAGAAGTTCAAGAAGATCAAAGGATAGATGTGGGAAATCTGACTACTTCTGGTGCAGAATAAACTTTTCTTTTTTTGTTTTTCTTTTGTTTTATTTGTGGTTTGGAGTGGGTATTTGTAAATATTTAATATTAAATGTAATCTACTATTTAGTTATGTACTATAGTTTAGCCACAAGGGTGAGATGTTTACACAAAAATAATTTCTAGACTTGCAACTTTTTATTGTCATAACCTATAAGTTAAACAATGTTTTCAATAGTTCACTGAACAATCGGTAAAAGAAATGAAAGAAGACAGAAGAAATGTTGCATATAATCCATCTTTGTTGTCTCAGCTCTTCTCATTTCTTGTATTCAGTGCAAAGGGCTACTAAAAGGTATAGAATTAGGTTAAGGTAATAGAAAGCATGAATCAACCTCTCAATTAGATACCCTATAGGTGTTGTGTTGCAATTCATCTTTACATTAACCATCAGAGCCATCCGCTTATTTCAAAAAACAATGATAGAGTATAGCGGAAGTTTTTCCTCTGTCTGAAGTTTCTTTTAGTCCTGATAGGAATTCATAGCTTCAGACTTCACTGCATCGGCTATGAAGCTGAGTTCATTGCACAGCGTCTCGTGTCTGTAGGCCATACGGATCTGGGCCACATTGGTCCCACGGATGTCATTGCCTTCATGTCCACCTTTTAGGTAGTTCACTCCTAAAAACTGCTGCTTCTCCTTAAAAAAAAAAAAAGAAGAAGTTAAAGATGTTTGATTAACATTTTTGGGGGAATTTGATTGAAAATTGGAGAAAACATTCCTTTTAAAAAGTATGTGAAAGTTACCTGGTGGCTTAGTCCACTCTGCAGCACACTGTTTCTGGCTATCTCACAGACATCACAGGTGCTGAGCTTCCACAGCTGAGCTGCTATAGCATACTCTTCCATCAAAGGTTCCTATCATGGCAGGAAAAGTGTAAAAAATACACATATATATATATATACGGTAAATCTGTATGAGTTTCTTTATAGCAGAACCCTGCATGTTTTACCTTGGTGTAGTGGAACTGCATGGGATCATCCGTGGACAGTGACACACACAGACCTTTGTGTAGGAACTCTCTAAGTGGGTTTTTGGAGTATTCCAGGAACAGGCTGTTGTTGCTGAGGGGAGACATGGCAATGGGTACCTGGGCCAGGTAGTACAGATACTGCAGCACAGGACTCTGTATAGAAAGATAGAACAGACTCTGGAAATCAACCAAAACATTGTTTTCTTAACGCCACACCTTCAATTTTCTTAAATTCCTTTATCATGTCTTTTAATTACTCAGCTCCAGCCAAATTCTTTGCTTAAAGGTATAGTGGACGATGTGTTTTTTCTGGGTGGTTCATAAAAAAAAGTGGTCCTCCTAATTGTCAATCATTCTGGTGACATGTTTACATAAGGCCATCGTTGGTGCTCATCCCATTTCACTTACCGGTGGTGAGTCTGATACTGTGGAAAGAAATGCAGATCTTTTGGAAAGTAAGCTTGTATGAGCAATGCAAAGAGCCACTTTTAAACAGAGCGTGCATGAGGAGAAATAGGTTCATAAAGTGGAGAGGGTGGGTCATTTTAAAAATTTGCGAAGATCCTCCACAGTACCTTTAAGGGATGCAATATATCTGTATAACCATTTCTGTTTTTTTTTTTAGAACAGTCTTGCTACCTAATTTTAAAGTATATTAGTGAAGAAGGTATTTTGTTAGTGGTAGTCCAAACTACGCATAATTTAGATCTGCAGAAACAGCTTCAGAGCTCAGAACAAACAAAACCTTTAACCTGTTTTTAGAGCTACTAATGTTGCTGCTCAATTTAATTGATTTAAATAATTTCTTTATTCTATAAGCCTTCTTTCCCTACTTCACAGCTACATTGTTCTTATCTTCAGTTGCCTTAAGAAAAAATAACTGGAATCTAAAAAAAAAACTAGACATTTCACCTAAATTGGGAAAACAAGCTTGAACAAGGTTAAAAAAGCTTTGAATAAAAGAACACATTTAAGTATTTTCAGTAATTTATTTATAATTAATCTCCCCTCCTAGTGAGACAGCATAATCTACTTCCTCCCTGTTTTCTGGTTACTCTTTGGTTGTAATATTTTTCAGGACATGTGAAGGAGAGTTAAGCCTATCTATCAACAAAGTACCTTTTTCAGGTTCAGTCCGTGTGAAATGTTGTCTGCAGTCAGAAAGGCGGAGACCAGATGGGTGATAGATCCTGCTTCTCCACAGTGGGGACGAAACTGGAAGGTATTCAGCCCACGCTCTCTGTGGTGAAACCAACATCATATAACTCTGTTCAACTTTTTTTGAATCAAACTACAGTTTTGGTTCTAGTTAGTGGGATATTCTGTCATCTGTCATGCTCAGTTTAGATGTACTGTGTTCTGATTGTTTCTATACAACATGATACCATCTACTGTTGGGAGAAGATACAATAAAAAAAAAAAAAAATCCCTGAATATAAGTCGTTTGAAATGATAATTTTAAGGTAATTAGATCTTACTTCCTCAGATTGTTGAGCACCATGATGTTGGCATACATGTAGAAGATGTAGTAGCTGTAAGGAGGGTTGTCATGTGTGGTCCACTGTTCTGGTTTTGGGCTCATGTAAGAGAACATGTGGTTGCTGTGTTTGGACTCATCATCTACGCTGTCGAAGCCCGAAACCTGCAAAGAACAAAGCAGAAAATTTTGCACGGTAATTAACCAATAAATAGTGGAATAAATCATGTTCAGCAGCTTCATTAACCTTCTTACACTTCTCTCAAATTATTGAACGTTTTTTTGTTGTAACAGCAGTGCTTCTTTATGATTATAACGCTTCACTTTGATTTGCAGTAATTTTGTATGTGGAGATCTTTACACCAAGTCCAATTTCTGGATTTAGATGTCTTTTTTAAAGGAAAAGGGCTTTGTGATAAATGTTTTATAACCCATTTATAAGATGTTAATATTCTGCATACATTCTAAATAAAAAAGAATTAAAGGTTAATCTTCCTTGTAGAGTACATTAAGAATAATAAATAATAATAGAATAATGATACTTGCATATTTGAGGAAAACATGAAGCTCTTTGTGCTCCTGTGGATTCACAGATGCCTTGAAGAGAGGAAGGAATATGTTCTCCAGAATCTTGGCAAAATTGGGTACCAGTTTCTTTGCCTTGAAAATATCACTTAAAAAAAAAAAATTAAACTCTCATTACTTGATGAAATTTCATTAGATTAGAGGCTTGCATTTTTTTAACAGTGGCACTCACTATATTCTGGGAATTTGAATCATCCACCTCATATTTGGTGAGTGGAGTTTGTGGTGAATGAACCACTTTGCCAGACTGTCCCACTCATCGGGAGAGCGTCCATAGATGGACAAACGTGGCTCTGCATGCTGATACTTACTCTCTTCCAAGTCAGCAGCCACCTCCTGTGGGATATGAACAGTGCAGTGAACTTTTTCTGCAATAGCTTTAATTGAACCACTATGGCAGACATGCCCAAAATCTGTCCTCTGAGCCGCTGTCCTGCAGGTCTTAGAGGTTTCTCTGCTTCAATTCATCTGATTCTGATGATTGCAGATCAGCAAAGGTCTGTTAATTAGTTATGAATGGAGATCAGCTGTTCTTGAGCAGGGAAACCTCTAAAACCTGCAGGACAGCGGCTCTCGAGGACCCACTTTGGGCATGCTTGCACTATGGCTACAGGACAACGCACCTTTATGATCCGAGCAAAGTACTCCCCATTGATATAGTTGTCTGTCTTCAGGAAGATCTCTCGTAGTTCACTGGCACCCATGGGATTATACTTTGAATTGAACTTGTCAAAGCGATGAAAGGTTTGTCTTCCCTGGAATAAACAAACAAATGAAAAACAAACAAAAAAAAAAAACATAAAATCTAGAAAAATCAGCTATTGTCACAGAAATGATTAATGACTTATTAAATTCAGCAGGTAAAAATCTTATAATCAATTTGAAATAAATGTTTGCTTCCTTACAGCATGGACATCTAAAGAATCCACAGTGAGATCATAAGCATCCATGTTGAGATAGTGGAAAACCTCCTGCAGGGTCATCTCTTGTCCATTTTTTTCCAAGACCACTCGGTCTTTATCAGTCTTGTACCGTTCCTGGATGAAGGTTAGCAGGTGTTTCTGAGACATGCATGCAGCTGCATGGATGTGTGTGTCAACCTTGAAGGAAAAAGACGTACTGAATAAATACATAGTACAGGCTTTACATCTGTTTCAACAGTTTAAAGAATTAAAATTAAAGGTATTTTTGGAATCCTACAAATATTTTTTTCAGACTGCCATGTTTGTGAACGAATGCTGCATTAATAAGATTATTAAGTCTCTAAAATTGAATAATAAAATTAGAAGATAGAAACCAAAACTGAATTATGTGGAGAACAACTCTGATTCACTTTAAGGACTAAGCTGCCAAAATCATTTTCTTGGACAATAATAAAACTTTGTTTTTATTTTATAATGGTCATATACTGCAGGAAAACAAGCTAGTTTATGTTACTTTTTTATTCGTTTGGTGTTTTTAAATCAACCAGAAAATATTTCCAGATTACACTAATTTATGCAACAATATTACTATGCTAATATTTCTACACTTTCCACCAGTCTTGAAAATAAAATGCATCACATAACTTGTTGGTTTTTATTTGCATTTAGAGGCATAAATCTATTTCATACGATGGAGAAAAGAAGTCAGACTTCTCATCAGTATTTTAACTGTAATTGTCAAGAAGGATGTCCATTTTAATCAGTGGGTGATAGTTTTTGTTGCTACCTTAGTGTCACTGACTAAAGGGAATAATATGTTCATTTCTTCCATATTGTTTTTTTTTTAAAGGAAATAAACACTTGTAGAGGCTCCAGTGATCTCGGGTAAAGCATTAAGGATATATTAGTTTTAAATCAAAAACATAAAAATATAAAAAGCATTCAAAGCCTATGGAAAGGTAGAGCCAGTATGTAATTTAGAGACTATAGAACCATTCAGAGAGCACAGACCTCAGCCAAATAGCTCGTTTCCTCTGGCACCTTAAATTAATACCTGTATTTACAGAATCTTTCAAAAAATTTATCACCAAAAGTTAATCATTTGTTGACAGTCACAATTCACACCTTCTCTGGAAATTTCAGCAAAACCAATCCATAACTTTTTGAGTTATTTTGAAAGCAGCCAATCAAAAGCAGATGGAAACATAACCTCCCTGGCAGAGGTAATAATTTATGCTCAGATTACTGACATATTAACAGAAAAACGCCTGTTGTAATTGTAATGACAAAATAAGGATCTTCTCCTGCACGAGACCCATTGGCATCTGAACCTCAGTGGTTCTGTTTATAAAACTCCTGAAGCTTGCAGATAGAGCTGCTGTTTTTGGTCTGATCCATGGCTGTGACCAGTCTGCAATGCCGTGGAGGACCAGGAAATTACCTGGTCCTTACTCATGCACACGCTTCCACAGGAGCTTTTGGTTATTTTCTACATAGTCATGATTTGATCTGTTTGATGAAGATCCATTATGTGGTTTGGCTCATCCACAACAATTAGGTCTGCTGAGGGTTAGAACAAGGACAGTTGACATCTCTGCAAACCACATGTCCTTGAACACACACTGTTTGGACCTTTACCTAAGGCCAGCTAGGCAGCGCTATTTACTATAAAACAGCCACCGCAGAGACTGTTCCCCCCCAGGCTGTCAATCTGATTAACATTTATCAGCGTCGAGGTCAGGTGGAACCAGTGGTGGAAAGTAACAAAGTACATTTACTTGACTACTGTACTTAAGTACTTTTTGAGTACCTTTACTTTAGTCATTTTTCGGGAGGTACTAATAACTTGCACTCTATTACATTTCAAAGTCTAATATTGTACTTTCTAATCCACTACAGTACCAGTTGTTCATTTTGGCTCAGCTTAGCTTTATCAGCTGTTGCTGTTTTTCTTTCTTGAAATGCAATTTCAATATGGAAGATAATTTGGACACCACTGTTTTAGAGATTTGCTTGACTTTCTACAAATGCAAGAAACTCTGGGCAGACATTAATAATAGCTTATAACTCTTATTAAGGCGTTAGTTGTTCAGTAGGATGAGTTCTCAAAGCAGAGTTGTAGTTTGTGGAAATAGATTCTAACCTTAAACCTCTAACCCATAGCCAAAGTGTGAGGATAATCGCACATCTGGTTTTTTGCAGGTGTTTGTTAAGCAATAATAAAATAGCTTCACTTTTTTGTGGCCTTTTTATGCTCAAATTCTTTACAAATGGTGTAGAATCTATAGCAGGTGGTTCTATGCATCAATACATCCGGTGGTTTCTGAAAGTTACAAGTTTGTTTAAAATTAGAATAAATAGATTAGAATAAGTTAAATTAAAATATTTCAGAAATATATTGATAGTAGAAATTTTGATTTCTTTGTTTGAATACTTAGGTATTTTCAAAAGCGAATACTTCAATACTTTAACTTAAGTAGACGTTTGACCAGGTAAGTTTTATTTGCAGTTGAGTAAGATTTGACTATGAGTATCGATACTTTTACTATTGTACTAATGCTGAGTACTTCATCCACCACTGGGTGGAACCAAAGTCAGATTCCTTGTTTTTGTGCAAAAAATCAGGTGATTAACTCAGATTCTGATTGTCTTCTGGAGTGACCTTAGATCCCAGTGTGTTAGAGGGTTTATTTTAATCTTGCTCTAAAATAGGGCCTGTTTAAACTTTTAAATAAAACTTACCTTTCTAACATTGTAAAAGTCTCTGTGAGGCACACGTTTCAGCTCCTTTAGCTCAGCTATCTCATTGAGCATCTCATGGAGATGAAACTTTGAACTCAAGAAGTTTAGTCTTCTGTGACAGTAGGTCTTACTGAAAATGAAAGTGGAGCTTTGTTGGTGCTCTATCAGTGTTAAGAACTGGTTTTTCAACCTGCATGACAGAAGACTGTTTATTTTGGTAACTTACGTGGGTCCATCAGCGATCATTGCCAGAACATGACTGAGATCTATAGCAAAGGTCTCTAAGTCTGGGTAAGGAAGATCATTAGGGCGTTCCATTTGAAGTCTTTCTGCACTACCATATACGTACACAATCCCATCAATCATCTTCAGCTCATAGTTCAGGTTTTCAGGGATGTTGTCCATGCTATACGGATCCTCATCTTCTGCAGGGCATGGGGATGTGTCTGAAGGGCAGAATGTTCTGATCAGGTCACACAATAATAGTACAAGATACTCTAAAATGCTTAACAGCTCATACCAGGCAAAACTTCGTCATCTACGTCCCATCGGATGTTCTCAGCGCTGCGGAGGAATTGACTTGTTGTTCTGCAGAATCTGTGATAGGCAAGCTTTGAATACTTCTCTCTTAGCAGCAGAGCATTAAACAGACTTTTGGCTGCCTGCTCGTAATCGTCCACTGTGACCTAAGTGGAAAAAGGATCAAATCCATTTTTAGGGAACACATACACAAAATGCAAAGTTACTTAAAACCTACTGGGTTTAAACTTACTCCAGCGCAGTAATCACCACTAATAGTAACTCTCTGGAAATCAGGACAGCTTTCAGAAACCGATGAAAAGGTGGAGCTAGTAGAAATTGATGGTGTCTCTGTCCTGGAATCTGGATAATCTGTATTTGCTGGGATCTGCAGGGACAGTGACTTGGAGCGGATAAGCCTCAAGCTTTTTCTCCTGAAAATCAGTAACATATACCAAACTGTTGAACTCTTTACACCTGGCACAATAACTGCAATTACTAATGTGCAATCACTATTTAATACCCTGTGCAATGTATATGTAATACCCAGTGCAATAATTAAATATATAATTACCTATTTATATAAATACCCATTTAATACCCTGTGCAATACTGTATATAACCCATGCACCTTTTTTTCCTTTTGGCACCTTCTTTTTGACTATTCAGCCAATGTAACAAGTACATTTCTCCACTGTGAGATCAATAAAGTCTATCAATTAATCAATCAAACATGATTTGATAGAAATGAACCAGGGCCTACCTCTTGACACTCTCCTCTGACTGCTGCTCTGCCAGGTCCTTAAGCAGCTCGTGTTCTTTAGCTTGCTGCAGGCCGATTGGGCAGTCCTCAGGCACAGTGAACATTGACAGGGCATCCTTGTTGTCTTCTTCTTTCAGTGCTGAAGCGTAAACCTTCTCAGCCAGTAGCTGTGTCTTCTTCGCTGCCTCACTCAGGGTCACCTTTGGGAACTGGCGAGGCATGTCTGCAAGAGGGCAGAAGCTAGAATAAAATGGCAGCAGTGATGGGTGTCATGGATAAACTGGCTCAAAGCAGTTGATGTTTTGTAAACAACAGTTTGAACCTGCATGAGGGTTTCAGCACATATTATTCAAGAAAAAATGTCTGCAAAGTGTCGCCACCTTCTGAGCTCTGCCTGAACTGCTTTTGTTCAAAAGAGTTAGTTAAAAAAAAAAAGTTTTTTTTTTGCAGGATGAACTGGAGCTTTTTTCTTAAATATCCACTTCGATCTTAAGGAATAAACAGTAGAATCAAACCCGGTAAATTTAGCTAATTTAACCGTTTCTCTAATTACATCTATACATCTTTAAAGGCCTAATGGCTTTCTAAAATCAGTTAGACTCAGCTGTAACTCTCGAGCACCTCACTGAATGTGTTTGGATTACAGTTATGATCATTGAATAACAAAACATTTCTGGCACATTTATCCTCTGGCCTAAAAAAATACAATAAGATTTTAGTTTAACGAAAATGTTCTCAGTTCTGTTTCAAATGAATTCTTTCAGACCTATTTTATCCAAATTCAAAAAAGTAGAGATAATCCTTCTTTCTAGAAAGAACTAGTTTTGTTATCTTCAAATAGAATATAGCTTTACAAAAAATGTTTATCATAAACTCAGTATAACCCATTCGATAATTTAGAATATGATACAAATCTCCATTACTAAGTGAAACATGTGGTGCCAATTAAATACACAAAAACTGATGTTTTGAAGCCTTTATTTCTGGTAATTTTAATATACATTAAAGCTAATGTCATATTAATTCATTCAAATTTAAAAGTATTTTCAAAACTGGGCTTAATAAAAAGTATTTATTCTCTAATTTATTGAACATTAAGCTGATTTTGTTTCCCCTACTGAAAGATGCATGGTTAAGCATGTAACTTCAGTCAAGTTGGGAAGTCTTTCTTTTAATTTTTCTGAGATACAAAGTGCTGTTCAGTTTGTTTTGCTGTTGAGGTCATATTGTATGATTGGATCTAAGCCAAGTTTCTTCCTGAAGCTTATCGTTCCTAAAAGACAGCTCTCCTAAAATCAGCAGCATGAACCGTATCCCCACTGACATCCATTTTAACTGTCTGGGCCAGCCTAGTTTGGTACAATATGGACTAGAAATCTGGAATCATTCTCTATCAAATCAAAAAAGCCTTTCATTTCAGATTTTCAGTCGTTTTTTTTTTTTCAATTAATGTACTCAACATGTACTTAAACATAATGGCACATTTATCTGTTTTCCATTATCCATTCACTAAATGCTACAGGACACAGTCTTATCCATTATCGTACGTATTATAAAAAGTCTATGGAATCCAGACTTGTGACAGAGTGTATTTATAAAGTCCCTCTAATCTATCAACAGGAAATATTAGAACAGAAATTCTTTGTCCCATTAATATAAGATTAATTATAAACTAGACACGATAAGAATATGATTGAAAATTGTTTGCTTGACAGAAAATGTGACCACAACAGTTAAAGAGTCCTTTTTAAATGATATCTATATTAAGGTTTTGTTTTAAAAGCAAACCTTGAAGGATACATTATTATTAGTAATATAAATTAGTATAATTACAAACGTATGAAATGTCATTTATCAATGAACACCCATTTTGTCTAAATATGTCATAAATGTATAATGGTAATCAACCATTTTTTTATTTTTATTTTTATTTACATTAATAGAAATCTGTTTCCTGGATTTGTGCTAATCCCTTTGGGAGGAACAGGAAGCAATCTAGGTCTTTCCAAGGGTTTAGCTCTAAGACCCAGAGCTGCAGTCTAAAGAGGTAGAATCTGGTACCTGCAGCTCTAACCATTAAGCTACCACCCCATCCCCTGTCCTTCTTCTATCACTGCCCTTTCTGTGATACAGCAGAGAGTAAATGCACCCAAAAAACGTCCAGATAGTACCCATTAGGATTAGTTTTCTTAGAACACATGTTTTACAAGCCACAGTTAACAAAAACCTTGGCAACAAAGGTGTCTACTGATATTCAGGCAAGGCAAGGCAAATTTATTTTTATAGCACAATTCAGTATAAAGACAATGCAAAGTGCTTAACATGATTAAAATACAGAGGGAAAAATAAGAATAAAAGCAAGTAGGAAAAGAAATGCAGAAACCAAAAAGAACATTAATAACAGTTAGACTAAAGAAAATAAAAAAGTTGAACTAATGATGTTTCGGTTGAACTGTTTTATTAGAACAGTCGAAGGCAATCCTAAACAAATGTGTTTTTAGTCTTGATTTAAAGGAACTCAGGCTTCCCGCACTTTTACAGTTTTCTGGAAGTTTGTTCCAGATAAGTGGAGCATAGGAATAGGCATGTTGTTCATTTGTGTTGCTACAGCTGAAGATGTAATAGCCAAATACAGCAAACACAGAACTCAAATTTGTTTGAAAACCTAAATACATTTAATGCGTTATAACAAAAAATGTAAAAACATTTGAAAAATTCAATATATTTAAAAATGATGAGCAATGGCATATTAAGGTATGGTTATTTCCCCAACACAGTTTAATTTATATAAAAATGGCAGTTTATGAGCCTTTTTAAATATTGCGTATTACTATTGTATTAAACCTCCCAATGATTTTGCTTGTTTTACTTACCTTCATTACTCCTCCTTAATGCCATATTTACGTAGTCCTCTTAATTAGGGCTTAAAGAAGCACTTCAACACCACCTCTAGCCCTCTATCAATAATTATAATTCTCACAATGACACAGCAACATCTGCTCATTTTTGTTGTTGTTTAAGTTTAAACAGCCCTTAACTATAGGACTATGTTTCAACACACTAAAAGAGTATTTCTGTTACAGAGTCATCACAAGCAGGTGATGACAAAGATAACTGACCCCTCCTTGTTTCTTGTTATCTGTAAACAATGCCTGATATACCCGAGCAACTGTAGTTTGGCCTAAAGTGAACAAGTAATATTTCCTATGGGGCACTTTGAAACAGGAGTGAAATAATGATTCAGTGAGAATTATGAAGGATTTACCCAGTAATATCGACAAGCTTCATGATTTGATGAGGAGACGACTTCCACTGCTTCACCATGGTTCACATTTTTTCCTGATATTCCTAACATTAAGAATTTGTGCACTTAAGATTAGTTTTTAAATATATTGCAAACAGATTTATTTTTCCCCCATGGATTTACAAAGAGTAAATAGCAGATATTTTAATACTTTTGACAAAAATAATCATTTTCTCTCTCACTGATTTTCAGTAAGACTCAATTTGTCCTGGTTTAGTCAGTTTGGATTATAAGTTTCTCTTTTTTATTGTATTAAATATCAGGATAAGAACAAAAATATATTTTTTTCTTCACTTTCTTTAAATGAATTTATATATAGCATATAGTAAAATTACCTTTTAAACTTTAGGACTGGGAGCAGATGGTTTTAGTATCCTTTAAAAAGCTTCTTATAACAGGTCACTGGAAGTTTGGCCCATTCCTTCACACAGAACTGCAGTAACTGAACAATTCCTTGCTCAAACCCACTTTTTTAACTCTGCCCACAAGTTTTCTATGGAACTGAGATAAGAGCTCTGTGATGACTCCCCCCCCCAAACATTGACTTTGTTGTCAGATAGTCACTTTGTCCCAAATGAGGTTATATGAAGAAAAAAAAGATATATTACAAAAAAGCTCTATAAAATAATAAAGAAGAATTCCTCTGTTCTGGGAACTCCTCTGGAGAGATTTGTTCATAAATAATAATTCTTCATAAGATGAAGAACATTATGGCCATCAGACTGTTAAACACCACAGGAGGATCTTCAGTCAGAAACTTCTCCAGATCTAGTGTAAGACAGAACGATAGAGAATATCCCTGCTGCCTACAGCTATAAACACCTGCAGCACATTAAAGAAAGGCTGATGAGGTACTTCCCATTTAATTCCACCATGGTATTTATAAAGTGTTTTGGAATTGAATCGAATTGAATCAAATTCAAGGAAATCAAATTGTATTGATACAGTCATTATCTATTTGGAAAACTTAAACTGAAGCATCTTGGCAGAGATGTTGTTCCAGTGCTACACTTTTTCTGTTGTTGTTTATTTCTTATGTTGTCAGCCATTTTGGAAAAGTGCACCTGTTCCTTCTTCAATCCCCCCTAACCTTTTGCCTACGCTTAACCATTAGCAACACATGCCTAACCCTAAAACTGAGCTAAACCCATACATTTTCCTAAACCTAAACCCCACCCCAAGAAGAGACCTTCCTCATGGGGACACTTGTTGGTTCCCATAAGGAACCAACAAGTGGTCCATTTACGGGGACTTGTTGGTCCCAGCAGAGGCGTAGCCAGAAAATCTTTGTAAGGGTGGCCAGGTAATAACCAATGTACACTGAGGGGTGGCCGAAAGTGTAAAGGTGCCAGAACCTCAGGGTCAATCTACACTGTTCCAACAGGAAGATTAACGAGAAAAACATAAATTTTTTTCTAAATAAAGACAAACTATACTTTCCTAAAGCCTTTCCTAACAAATAGATGCATATATTTAAACATTCATGCTTCTTAGATCAAATGTATAGTGGATAAAATTCTTTCAGGTGTAAGTTCTGGGGTGAACATATCAATAATCTTTCTGCATAAAATTGATATTTACAAGCACTAACATCTACATAAAGCAAAATTTTCCACTGTGAGATCAATAAAGTCATAAATTGATTATTTAATAAGTTTGTATTAAACAATTAACCAAAGAAGCGTAGATGACTTGCATTTTCTCATATATATATATATATATATATATANCAATTAACCAAAGAAGCGTAGATGACTTGCATTTATATACATATATATATATATATATATATATATATATATATATATATATATATATATAGATATATACATATATATATTTTTTCAGAGACTCATCATTTTCTCTTTAGATCTGAAAAGAGCCTGAATACTTATCTTTAATGTTAGTATATTGATGTGCATAATAAACCACAGTGTTTTTGTCGTCAAGTAACTGTTACTATATGAAAAATGTTTAATGTTTTGAATATTCCACTTAAGAGTATTACTGCTGCCACCATCTGTATCAGAGGGAAGAATATGGTTGTGGTGGCCACAGTGAAGGCCAATGATTGGCCCCTGGCCCCCCATCTAGCTCTGCCCCTGCCCATAATTACCTTTAAATCCCGAAAATGTAGCATATTTCTGGGAAATTGTCCCCACAAGGTAACAAAAAAAAAAACAAAAAAAAACCGGCCACACTCACACCTCTCAATTTACCTTTAACTCTCATTAATTGAGTTATTCTTGCTCTCTTAGGGGCCCTCAGTAGCTTTTCACCTCATGTCACCAAGTTACTTCTTTCACTGTAAAACATGACTTTCTAAGAAGCTTCAAACAACATCTTCAGAAATGTTTTCTACTTTTGCTCTGTTGATTTGGATATTTTACCGTCACAACATTTTAATCCTAAAAATCTTGAGACAGAGGTCCCAAATGAGCACTATTGCAGATGGAAATTCCCATGCTTTTAAAGCTACAGGGTGTAATCTTCAGCGACATCTAATGGTCAGACTGCAAACTGCAGTGACATGAACCGCTCCTCCAACCGCTTCTCCCCCTCCAACAATATGGAGGCCGTCACGGTAGGAAATAGCCTCTGCAACGCCCGCCTCACCCTACCTATAAATTGATAAGAAGATTATTGACATTTATAATTGTATAAATAATATTTTATTAGTCTGTTGCCGCAATAACATTTAAAGTTAATGGCGTTCTCTACGGTAACTATTTTGTCAACTCTGGGCTGCCGTAGATCAAAGATGCAGTTTAAATCTGAAATGTGTTTATAAATAGTCATTTGTAAGGCAATGCAAACATAAAGATTGAGACTTTCAGTTAGACTAATCAGTCTGTAACGTATGTTATTTATTATAATCTACAAAAGGAAAGTCTTTATGTATTTACTTATTTTCTATTCATTTATTATGTATTTATTTTTTGTATTGTAATTTATTTTATTGATATCAGAAGAAATAAACATATTTCCAGTTGGAAAGTACATTCACACTTATACCTTTAATAAGAGCTAATTTTGTGATTTAACTTAAAAAGAGCCTTACAAAGCCATGCTATCATCACCTGAACTTTTTAAAATTGCCATTGTAATCCTTGAAAAAAATAGTAAAGTTCTATTTTCTCCCAAACATTTCTGACATTCAGCCAAATTAGGAAAGATTTATCCTTTTGCTGTGTCAGACAGAGACAAAACTACGGGTTATGTGCTGTTAATACCTTCTTGCTGAATCATTTACTGAACAGATTAAGCCCAGATTGTAAATTTAATATCTTCAATATGACAGCAGAGCACCTTTGGAGCAGAACACCTTTGTGTCAGTGAGTCTGCTGAGCGGCTCTTTAATGTGGAAATATGGAGTCGTACATCATATCCATGTTTCCTTTGGAGAATAAGAACCATTAGTCATTATTTCCTGATCTCAGAGTAAATCCCATTAGAGGCTGGATGAGACCATTACTTGCCAACTCAGACACAGCTCACTTTATCCTGATGTCTTTATCTTGTCACTTTTCATTTTTCACAGACACCTCGCAGCACTTACTGGAGGAGCAACCAAAACAGCACTTTGTCAAAAGCTGTATCTCACAAAGAGGTCAGAACCCCATGAGAGGAAGCCTTTTACCACATTACAGAGATAGTGATGAGAGAATGGAAGAAACTCACTGGATCCCAGACTAGCAGCTGTCTGCTTTGAAAGAGGTGCGTCACCTTGCCTCATCTCTCACAGTGTCCAGACCTTAAGGAAGAAGATGCACCCAAGATAACATGAAATGTTTCTAAAATAGAGTCTCAGATAATAAAAAAAAAAACATTTATAATTTCAAATAAGTAATCCAAAGCATACCTTTCAATCAGAATAGTCAGAAAATGGATACAAATAACATTCCCACTCAACATTTATCTAATAGAAGATTACAATTTAGGATGTACAAGTTCACCCACTGATGCTAGGATAAACACTGACTGTTAAAAGACCTCCACTCACCTTCTCCACAACCTCTGAAGTGGGTAAAACTGCACAAGTTCTCTCACAACAGCATCCAAGTCATGCTGTGCTGTGATTGTAAAAAAGTATGTAGCCTAATATCTAATCCACCACCCTGCAGCCCGTCGACTCCATCATTAACTCTTTCATGGCCAAAGCTTAGTAGCTGAACAACTGATGAGATCAAAATGCTAAAAATTATTATTTCGAAACTCAATATGGGTGAATATAATTATGTCCAGCATGTTTATCCCTAGTTTAACCCTTTTGCTAAAAAAAAATGAACTTGTTTTAAGTACTGCTATTTCAACTGGAAAGATGATGTGTTTTAACTAAGGTTGCTTTCCCCTTCTTTAATGTGTGTGATTTTTAGGTAAAGAATATATGTGCAAACAAAGTGATGCAGCAGATTATTTAAGGCAGCAGGAAGATGAAGTGCAGACAATGCATAATAGAAGTTTTTTATTTCAAATGATGGAAAATATAATGTGTACTTTACAAAAACATCACTCCAACTAAATGACAGTGATCAAAACAGCTATCAGTCCCAAAAGTTAGATTAAACTAATGTGCTGTGCCTCGCAAAATTCATGGCAAAATTTGACCTAACATATCCGTGGTAATCAGCATAGAGCCATTATGTAATATTAAAATGCATTGAACTTGTTAACAGTTTTTATTGTTTTAGCTCAACCCTTAATGTTTTATTTAATTTTTAATTTTTTTTTCTCTGTTTTTTTCTCTACTACAACCTCTAAACAGGTTTTCCTGCCGGAGTTTCCTTTATTTTTGTTCCATTCATCTGTCTTGTCTTAGCCACCTCTGCTGAAGAAAAGGACATTGTCAATGCCATGTTACACTTTTGGGATGCTTTGTTAATGGTTGAGTGGAATGCTGACAATAGCACCTTGTTAATAAGATAAGGTAGACTTTTTTGATCTTACAGTGGAGAAATTCACTTGTCACATCGGCTCAATAGTCCAAAGAAGGTACCTTTAACAAGATTACTGCACAGGATATTGAACAGTGATTGCACATTAGTTATTGCACAAGTCTTTGCAGTTATAATGCTGCATTGTAAAGTCAAGTTGTAGTGTATTATACTAATCGGGAAATGTTGCTGTGTCATGGTGAGAATGATCGGGCTTTTGTTAGCAATTGCTTCCTTCAATAATAATTTTCCTATATGGTATCTCTATTCTATTTATAAACAATCAATTTATTTTTGTAATCGGCATGGATTAAAACAATTACTACATTAATGGTTATTAATAATCAAACAGCTTGACTAGACAAGGTGGTTCTTTATACTGGTTAGGTCATGTCTACAGGATATCAGTTGGCTTTGTTTATCAAAAAAAAAAAGATTTGTAATAAAAATGTCAAACTTTTCACATTTTAATTTATTAAGGGTATTATTTTAAGCTATTTTTGTCAGTCTCTCACATAAAATCTCAACAAAAGTTTAAGTAGATTTTTTCAAAATGATTACTATTAAGGCTCGGCTTCTCAAATTGTTGCAGAAAAGATTTTTTACAGACTTGCTCTGCTGTATTAGTGCACCACAGACACACACCACTTTCTAGACCGTGAGGCCATAAGCAGCAGTGCCCGATTTAGCCACAGCAGGTGTGGAGATTATAAAACTAATCTTCTCATCGGAGGTTATCAGTTAAGAGTTAATCAGCATCGTCGGCCTCTATTCTTCTGATGACAACATTATCATCTCAATGGCAGTTAATCTTGTTTCCCCTGCCGCACAATCTGGTTTTATATTGCACTCTTTTTTATGTATAATTAAAGATGATGCAATAAAAACTCACGTGGAGTTATTTTATTGCACCTTCTTTTGTTCTCCATCAGTTTATTTTCTATTATGGCAGATATGTTTTATTTCTTATTAAATGATTAAACCAATATCCAATTGTAAAGATCAGTTAAAGAATGATTTTGCTAATGATCCTTGTTAGCCTTGCAGTGTATAATGGATAAAAGACTGTTAACATGCAATAAGACCTGGAATGTAGGGAATATATAATCTCCTGACCATAACTAATTAGTTTTGCGATCAGATCAAAGCATCACTGTCACTAGCTCATTGAATTATTGAAGAAGAAAGACTATCATAGTTGGAATATACACACATAAGTAAGATTGTTTCTGTCTTTTCCCACTTGACTATATGTCATTCAGGAAATATAAGTTGCAAATGCTCAAACTAACCACTAGATGTCGCAGTTGTTTTGCTGCTGCGTTTAATTTTCCTCAAGCATGTTTCAGTGGTTTGGTTGACTGATCCTACAAATGGAGAGAACATAAAATATTTAAAGGAAGGCTGAGCCCCTTGGATGCATCTGCATATATAAAATCCTTCAAAAGGGCTTTTCTCATATTTTCTCCCTGGATTTGAACTGTAAAATTTGAATTTGCATTAAAAACAACAAAAGGTTGTGATTTTGGGGGTGGATTTAAAAATATCTGGAGAAAACTTTGTTTTTTTTCCCAGCTTTAAATAAGCATTATGAAAAATGGTCACACCTGTAGTCCTTCAAACTCTTTGGGCTCTATTTATGCTCTACAAAGACTTTCTTTCCACATACTTCCATTGCACTATGAAAGAATTCCCTGATTATTTCAAGACAGTTTTTCATGGTAATAGCAACCTTATACGGAAGATGATATTTTCAAAGATAATTCATGAAAGGATGAAGCTCTAAACTAGTAAACAACAACCACCAAGATGATTCAAGTATTGATTCTCATCTGACCTTTGTGTTCTGAGAAAATTTAAGCAGTGCTAGTTTCTGATCTAATGGCTCTAGAGGGCCACAGGGATCACATTTACAGTATATAAAAGAGCAGGCTGTATGACTGAAACCTTCTCCCCACTGAAAACGAATCAGTAAACCAATAATCCTCTGTGCATTAAAAAGATAAGGTTCAGTAAGAATTTTCTTTTCCTTCATTTTGACTATAAGGACTTTATTCTTCTTCAGGGTCTGCAGGACATGTCCTACAGTAATTATCCTTCACTAAAAGCCAGTTTAAATTCATCATAGGGGGTATTCTTCTCTGACAGTTTCCATCACTCTGTTGTTTCTGCAGTGAATATGTATTGCTTCGACAAAAAGAAGGTGAGGTGCTTTGTGGTACAAAAACAGTTTCATCGTCCCTGTGATGCTCGCAGAGGAATGTTGGACCGGAACCCCCCTCTGTCTGAACCTTCTTGTGTCCAAAACCACGCACCATTGAACACAGATGGAGCTAAATCTTCAGCCTCCCCTTGATGGCTTTAGGGCTGCTCTGTGGTGTGGGGCGAGCCAGCAAATATGACTTAAACTTATCAGGAATGTGTGCCCAGCAACCTGTCTGCCCTTCTTATGGGGTGGGGGGGTTGAAATGGGAGAATGTTGTGTGAGGAAGGGTTGGGTTTAGTCTAATGAGAATCTGTTAGACCTTAACAGGGACCAGGTGTTCTGTGTTTTTCCCCCTCGACAAGAGAATGTCCAAAAGAGTAAAGAGCATCTAAGCAGGGTTTAGGTTTTGTATGCAAAAGGTTTATTGAAAGACACAAATAAAATAAAATACATTTACAAATATAAAATAACATACATTTAAAACACATCCATTTACCACAGTTTGCAAAGGAATGATGACAAATAGCTACAATGCCCATCTCTCTCTATATATATATATATATATATTTATATAAATCTTTCTGTACAAAAATAGCTTTATCTGCATAAGGACTTTAATGTAACCTCTATATAATATTTAAATAAAGGAATTCATATATACACACACACAAATATCTGCAATAAAAAAAAGATTGCACATGTTTTTGTTTTGATTTTTTTTTACAAACAAATGCATTTTCAAGTATAGTTAAATCCAGTATGGATTGGCACATAGCTCCCATAATCTAAGGCATTTTCTCTCATACAGTGTCCAAAACATGATATAAATGAAGAGCATTAAAGCTCTTTAGGCATAATGATAATGATTTCTTTCTTAATGATTCATTTTGCTTAAGTTCAAAAGGAAAAGTGCAAGCCATTATTAGCAGTCTAATGGAACATGGTGGTGTAGTCCTTCGAGGATGGCACTTTTCAAAGTCTAGGCCTTGAGGAATAGGTTAGTAGAAGGTTCCCTCTTTTAGGATGTGCACACAGGCATCTGAACTCATCACATTTTCACCACCACACAGAAAGCAGCACCTGTAGCTCCACACTGTGCCATTCAGTGTCTTTGAGCCAGCTGTTTACAGTTCTAGCATCCCAATACGACTGCAACCAGATTCACTCTGACTCAGTCCTCCTTTTTGGAACGAATGTGCTGGAGTAACTTGGCGAGAGTCTTTTAGAGGCATTTAGAGAATTTCAAAGCCAAGCAGAAAGGGACACACACTAGGGAGTCCAACTCCCTTGCTTTTTGCTCCCAATTCTTCTTTTAGAGTCCTTCTCATGTCCTTCTCAGTAGAGCCTCAAGCTTGTGTACTTGTGAGTCGTTCAGCCTCCACACTGGTCTCAACCTGCCTTTCTCCACCTTCAGGGAGAGTTGCCTCTCTGGAACAGACCTGCGCCTCCGGCCGTATCCCTGAGGGCTCATCTTGTCAATAGGGGCGCCGGTCTTCAGCTTTTTGTTGTTGAGCTGTTGTAGGCGGTGTGCTAGGTCATGCACTGTACAGGTACCCAACACGCAACCTTTGGACCTCTTGGTTCGGATTTTAATGTCAGTGCTAGAGACAGAAAGAAGACAGAACGTTAATCCGCTATCACTTTTCAACCTCTAAGGTGGACCTGTTCAGTTGGGTTGCTTTCTAGCTTTGATTAGATGATTCATTTCTTACCTGGAATGTGGCAACAAGGTATCCCTGATGTCCTCTGGTCTAACAAAGGATTCTGACTCTGTTGTCTTCTCTACTGCAACACTTTCAAGATCCCGTCTCAGTCTGCTCCCGAGCCATATGCTTAGTCTGCAAGAGGAGAGGAGGGGAAAAACACCATTAGTTTTGGAGAGGATGATTCTTGGCACAAAACTTCAGCCAGAAACATTATTATTATTATTACAGTATGAACTGATTTGAAGTTGACTCACCTTTTTTTCAACACGGGATTCACCTCAAGTTCCACACAGTGCGCTACTGAAGCCAGCAGGCAGCAATAGAGGAAGGAGTGGAAGATCGTTTTCATTTTGGCTCCTGTGGCAAGAAGAGAGAAGGAGAGAAAAAAAAAGTTTGGTTAGTTAAATAGTTATGGCTGAATTTAATATTTAGCTGCTGACATATCCTTACTGTCCCTCTTTGAATGGAAAACTACAACTTAAAGTATTCCATGAGAAACTGTGTTATGTTTTCTTACACAAGAGTCCAAAAGGCAAGTTATTTGCACATATCATTCATTTATTTAGAAAGTTAAGCCAAGGTCAGAATTTGCTAGGTTAAGTAAATCTGCAACCATGCTTTGGGCATTTGGCCAGCAATTTGAAGGACACGGTCTGAAATAGACGCAGCAGAAGTGCAGCAAAATGTGCAATCTGCAAGTTTCATTTACAACATTTAGATAAATGAATAATAACAATGAACTAATCCTGTTTTATTTGCAGTCTTGGAGGCAATTACCTCACAGACTAACACACATTTAGAGCTGAACTGCTTATATAACCAGACAGATAACCTGTTCTTGCCTCAACACTAGTGCCTTGACCTCAAAAAACACAAGAAGTAAGGATAAAACCATTAGCTGGCATCACAGCAATACAACAGCAATGTGTTTTCCTGCAAAGCAAATCACACATACCTGTAGTTCAGCTCAGGTGGATTAGAAAGCTCTTCTTCCAAAGTCACCAATAAAAGAATACTCCACAGGTTTTCTTCAGGTTTATTTTTGCTTCTTTAAGGCAGCTGTGTCACTCTGCTATTAGTCTCTACACAGCAGACCGGCCGCCTTTATACACTTACAGAGGGTGGGAGGGGCTCAGTGATCGACACGCGCTGTCTCATCCTTTACCCCACCCCATTCAAAGCACTTAACTGCTCTGCTGTTCATGTTCAGCAACACAGGGTGGGGGATACGTGTAGGAATGTCAATCAAAATCATATGTTAAACAAAACTAAAGAAAAGTCCGTATTGTATCCTGTTTTTCATTATTTATCCCCTAACCTACTTTCTGTGCAGGCTTATATAACACAACATTTAAAATAAATAATGAGTCAAATGCAACACTCAAATCAATACAAAATGCTTGCAACCTATGATCAAAACATTTATATGGTATATTGATTAATTATATTAATATTCTCTTTTTTTATGCTCCTTTCAGTCTTTCTGGCAACAAAGGAAAAAACTTTTGAGGAATGTTCCCATCCTCGGCTTTCCAGGGCACTCCCCGACACCAGCAGAGTCCACGAGAACCTGAAAACCCAGACGACAATGAACATGAGAAAAGTATTACGTTACTCATTAATATAATAAGAATGCCCGACTGTAAATACAATAAACTCAATATATTTGTTTGGACAGTGCAAATATTTACTTTGGAACACTTGGGATGAAAAGAGGGAAAAAAGAAATGGAATTTTACAATTATAAATCTGTTGTAAGTTGAATGACAGCTCCTGGGGCATTGCTTATCATTTTTCCTTTTAAATAGTTTAGATTATTATGGTTTTAGAACAAGTGGAATTAGGTTTAGTTACATTGAGAAACAAAATCTGCTGGGTGATGATTAAAAAGGACATTAGATCCGTTTTTTTCATGGATTTTAACTCCTTTATGTGGTCCTTCCTAAAACATACATTTTATAATAAAGCTTTATGTTTAAAAGTGACACAGAATGTAGGAAATAGAATGTCAGAGCCCCGGAAAAAACAAAAATGAAAGTGTTCATGTTATAAAGAAATCTATAAAACTCCAAAATATGTGCATGATTTCTTTCTTTTTCTTTTTTTTTTTATCCCACACATGTACCCTCAGGTGTAGTTTAAGAAATGCTGTAAAAACCAGAGGAGAAAAAAACCTTTTGGTTTTAACAGTATAGAAATTCCGCTGTAGAAATTTCCACAAAGCATGGTGTAAGTAAATCTTTCAGTTTTGATTTTGCTTTCGCTTTGTTGAACCATGAAGAAAATCTATGAAGTAAGGTTCACTCCACAGTTGACATTCCTTCTGCGGTATATCAAGATTCCTATTCACATCCTTCTATCATAATGAAATCCTTATGAGTTTATTTATATTCTCATGCGACCCCATTCCACTGGTGGTGTCATATTTTTAAACTCCAGAAAAATACATAAATGGCAAACACATGCAATGTCAGAACTAAAATGTTTTGTAACCACTTTGTTATGCTAATTGACTCCAGCAGATCAGTAATCCCCTCACCAGAGCTTATGACAAGAGATGGTGCAATCATGACAATAAAATTCTTCTGTTGCATTTTGACTCCTTTTATAGCAAGAAGAAGGCGGAATTCGACTGACAGGTTGTTTAAATATGTATTATTATTATTAGCTTATTTATTTCGACAATGACTGGGAAATCGAGGGCATAGGGAACATAAAGTTGATCAATCCTACCAGATTTCCTAAACAGGTTTGTTAATATAAGTAGATACCTTTTTAATTACTGTAAACCTGTCATGAGCCATCCTTTTTTCTCAAGAAAAACACAGTTATCTTCTGTGTTATCCATGTTATCCTGTCGATTACTCTTCTTCACTGCCTCTGTTTTTTTTTTTCTTGTAAACACAAGCATTGTCCAGGAATTTCAAGAGCTTTTGAAAACACAGACGATGACTGAGGGAAATCTCTCGCTGGGTTCCTGCTATTGTTGCTGCTTGGTGTATTTGTCTCACACTCATGAGCTAATACCCACGTGTTATACCTGGTGACAGCTTGTCCTGTTTTTCATTCCTCTTCAATATTTTGTTCTAACCCAGGAGTTTATCTTTGATTGATCCACAAAAGGGAGCGTTTTGTATTATCGGAGTTGGGATAAAGTGAAGACATCTGGTAATGGAAATTGAGAAGTTAACATTTTATTGCTGAATGATTGCTTTAGATTTGTTTACTTTACATCATTTCACTGACTTGCCCATCCATCCATCCATCCATCCATCCATCCATCCAT